ACGTCCCCACCCCGCGGGGACCGCCACCCTATGGAGTGGACAGAGGCGAGAGGGAAGTCGTGTGCTTGTCCCCTAGATGTTAAGGCGCTGGCCTCTCGGTGGAGCCTGTGTTACATCCTCTCCTGGTATTTTCCCCATTTGTAACTGGGTCACTATACGCCCTTGTCCAGGGAGCTGCCCATGACTTAGTTTGTTTCCAAGAATGTCCACCCCATTGTTTGCTTTTCTCATTTCACGTGTTGCCCTTGGTCCCCATTTTCCCCGCCTCTCAACCAGGACGGTCTGCTTCTCAGCTGGGGATGTGAGTGAAAATTCTCTAGGTGCGGAGAGTGGAGCTGGGATGCTGGACGAGGCGCTGACCTGCAGCAGGATCTCAGGTCCACCCTCAGCTTCCGGTTCAGAACTTTCCGTATTCACTACATCCTTTACCCTCTTTGCTTGTTGTAAATATTCCTTTGTCTTAAAGAAAAAACCCACCATGTTTGATCACTGTCAATTTTGTCCACACAGAAACCTGCACGGAGGTTTATAGCAACTTTAAGCATAATCACCAAAATTTGGAAGCCGCCAAGATGCACCTCAGTAGGTGGATGGATAAATAAGCCGTGGTCCATCCACACAATGGAATATGCTTTGGAACTAGAAAGAAATGAGGGAGGGAAAGACTGGGAGTGTGGGATTAGCAGACGTAAACTATTATATACAGGACGGACAGACAGCAAGGTCCTACTGTATAGCACAGGGAACTATATCCAACCTCCTGGGGTAAACCATCATGGAAAAGAATATAAAAAAAGAAAGTCTCTGTGTATAACTGAGCCACTTTGCTGTATAGCAGAGACTGGCACAACACTGTAAATCAACTTGACTTCAATATGAAAAAATGAGCTATCAAACCATGAAAATCAGGGAGGAAACATAAATGCATATTTGTAAGTGAAAGAAGGCAATCTGAAAAGGCCACACACTATATGATTCCAACCATTTGACATCCTGGAGAAAGCCAAACTATGGAGACAGTAAAAAGATCAGTGGCTGCCGGGGGTTAGTGGGAGGGAGGGATGAACAGGCAGAGCACGGAGGATTTTCAGGGCAGGAAAACTAGCCTGCGTGATGGTGGATATACGTCCTCATACATCTGTCTAAACCCACGGAACGTACAACACTGAGTGAACGCTAATGTAAAAGTGGACTTGATTTCACTTTCTGACTTACTTCACTCTGTACGACTGTCTCTAGGTCAGAAAAACAAGTATCATATATTAACACATACTTGTGGAATCTAGAAAAATGGTACAGATGAACTGGTTTGCAAAGCAGAAATAGAGACACAGATGGAGAGAACAAATGTATGGACACCAAGGGGGAAGAGGAGGGGTGGGGTGAACTGGGAGATGGGGATGGACATATATACACTAATATGTATAAAACAGATAAATAATGAGAACCTGCTGCAAAGCACAGGGAACTCTGTTTCACTTTGCTGTACAGAAGAAACTAACACAACACTGTAAAACAACTATACGCCAACTGAAAACAAAAGTGGACTTGAGTTAATAATAATGTAGCAATGTAGGTTCATCAGTGTAAAAATGGCCGCACTGATGCAAGATGTCAGTAGCGGGGGAGCCTGGGGGTGGCTGGTTATACGGGACCCCCTACTCTTGCCATTCAATTTTCTGTAAACAGAAAACTACTCTAAAAAATCAAGTCTAATTTCAAAAATATGGGAGTGGGGTAAGGGGAGGGAAAGTTCTGCCTTACAGAGAATATTAGCTATAAGACATAAAACTGATGTCGAGAATTACCATTTGGCAGCCACCATGTGAGAGTTGTTCAATAATTCTGCTTTAAATGTTAAAACTGAAAATAAATAATAATTTATAATTGATCTGCCCAGACCATACCCCCCACCAAAAAAAAAAAAAAAAAAAAAGAATCCAACCAAAACCTCCTGATTACTGTTAGCTGTTGGCTGAGATCCGGGAAGTCCTGTACAAGAACTGTCTGCCTGGGAGGCAGGCGTCCCACTGCTGGTCCCCCAGTCGGATGGGGTCGGAGCCTGGTCTCAGCCTTCGCTGGAACACCTGCCTTGAATTCTGTGCTTTGTCAGGTGCCAGTTTACATGGATTTCAGGGGAAAACAGGTTTCCATTTCTTTTCTCAGAGTTGGTTCTTCCTGATCAGTGAGCCCAGAGGCTGTGGTCACAGGGATAGTTCAGGAAATCCCGGCGCTCATTTCACCCCACGCCACCTTCCACAGGTCGCTGCTCCCGGGTCGAGTCTATCCCAGTTCTGAGGAGAGTGGATAACATGCTGCCTCCGTCTCTCTCCTTCCCGGGTCCCCAGGACAGCGTTTCTAACTACAGGCAGGGCCAGGAGAAATGACAGCTGACCCGCATTTTGAAATAATCTAGGGTCTGTGCTGATGTGTTTTTAGAAGCTCAGTTAGCGTCGGCTCTGGAATAACAGTCGATCCAAACTCTTGGAATCCAGCGACACCACCGCCAGTGAAGCAGGCCTGCTTCATGATGGGGAGCGGGTAGCAGGAGGGGCGGTGTCCAGCCCGGGGAATCATCGGGAAACGGCCACGGATGCGGCCAGGCCAGCGGGAGCCCAGGCCAAAAGCTGCCCGAGGACCACAGACCCCGGGCCTGGCTCAGGTCTGCCACTGTCCCTGAAGGCTCAAGTCCATGCTCAGGAATCCACAGGCCCATGTGTGGTCTGAGCCTAAGTGCTGGGAGCTACATTGCAGTGATGGACAGTACCCAGCCACCCCCCGCCCAACGAGCTGGGAGCCAGCCTAGGTGACAGGGCACAGAGGAGCCACCCGCTGACCACGGGGCCAGAACGAGCATGTGCTCACCCTGTGCCCACCCTGCCCTGGTGCTCAGACCTTCTGCTCAGCTACACACACGCCCCCAAGGAAGCAGAACCCCTGCTGCTGGCCCCATACCTGCTTCCCCTGCAGACAGAACATCCAACCCTGCAGCTGCCCCGTTCCCCATCCAGACTCTCCGCAAAGGCCCGTGCCCCGTGGACCACCACCTGCCACAGGCCCTTCTCCCCAACCCTGGGTGTCTTGCCTCATCACTCCTGACCTTAGAAGGTCAGCCCCGCGCAGGTACGGCAGGGCCCACCTCTGCCTTGTGCTCCATCCACCCATCAGGATGCCTGGGAGCCCGCTTGCCCACGTCACCCCGCCCCAGCTCCCGGCGCACAGACCCCCAGCTTCCTGTCTCACCAAGTGTCTGCCTGGGCTGGTACCCTCCTCACCTTCAGCCAGGCCTCTGCGCTCGTCCCCCTCCAGGCCTGTGCTCTCCTGTCCCCATCCAAGCATGTCCTGTCCCCTGGCATCTCGGGCATTGAAGCTATGTCACCAGTAAGCCAGCAGCCCTGTTCTCACGTTGCTCAGTTAAATTTAGGAGACAGGAGTCGACCGTGACTACAGCACGGCCACCTGTGTGCGCATGGGGACATGCACGGCTGCAGGAGCACGGCTGCAGGTCCTGCCCCAGCTTTAGAGTCCCCACAAGTGACGAGAAAGCTCCCTCCTTCAGCTGACGCACCTGTTGTGGGTTCAGCAACTGTGAGGTGGGACACATTAACGTGACACTGGCACAGGGAGGACCGGCCCAACCCAAGAGGAGAGGGGGTGGGAGGCCCCGCTCGCTGAGTCCGAGATAAACGCTCTCTGCTCAGCATCACCCGCTTGCCCGGATGAACGCTCCAAGTTGCCATGGAGACCCTCACCTGAGCCGCTCTCGGCTCTCACGACAGCCTCACCTCAGCTGGTCGAGTTCACGTGTCCCCTGGGCACAGGGCTCTCACCTGGGATGACGGTGCCTCCCCCCCCGCCCCCGCAGGGGACACTGTGCAATGTCTGGGGGCATCTTTGGCGGCCACAACTCGGGGGTGTTACTGGCATTTGTGGGTGAAGGTCAGGGATGCCGTACACATCCTATGGTGCACAGGACAGCCCCCAGCATAAAGGACTGTCCAGCCCCACCATGGAACATCATTCAGCCATGAAAAAGAAAGAAATCCTGCCATTTGCAAGAACGTGGATGGACCTTGAGGGCATAATGCTATGTGAAATAAGTCAGAAAGACAAATCTGTATGATCTCGCTTACATGTGGAATCTAAAACAACTGAACCCAGAGAAACAGACTGGTGGTCACCAGAGGTAGGAGGTGGGGTGGGCGGAATGGGTGGAGAGGTTCAAAGTTCCAAGCTTCCAGTTAGGAGATAAGTAAGTCCTGGGGATGTTGTGTACAGCATGGCAACTGTGGTTAATAATACTGTGTTGTATATTTAAAAGTGGCTAAGAGAATAGATCCTAAAAGTTCTCATCATAAAAAAAAAATGTGTAACTATGAGTGGTGACGGATGTTCACGAAACGTATCGTGGTGATCATTTCCCAGTATATCCATATACCAAATCGTTAACGTTGTATGCTGAAAATTAATACAATGTTTTGCGTCAACTGTATTTCCATAAAACTGGAAACAAAAAGAGAAGAGATAAGATTAAACAAAAGTTAATGCCCACTTGGAACTGGTAAGAAACAGAAAGGAGCCTCCGGCCCCCATGTCATCGGGGCGGAGGATGAGAGCCCTGTACCGTTTTATCCCACGCGTGATCTGAGGTCCCACGCGTAGGGACTTGGTTTCCAGCAGGGGGAGCTAGGCACATGCGGGTGCATGTGCGTCTCCCAGGGCTGGCATGAGATGGCTGCTCTGTGTTGTCATTCGTTCATTCACTCATTCTCTCCTTCAACTCAGGTACGTTCTGAGCACCTACCACTTGCCAGGCACCTCCCGGATGCTGGCGCTTCCATGCAGCTAACACAGGCTCCCGGAGGAGGGAGAAAGCACTTTTAAAACAAAGTAAAGCGTGATGCTGCCTATGCATGTGTAATCCGAACGACAGAATCACCTTTCCTCCCCGAACCCACGTTCCAGCGGGGTTTCCTCAAGTCTCTCCAACCAGCCCCTACCTCCGGTCTCCAGGTCATGGAAATTCGGATCCAGGCCTCGTTCCAGCATCTTGACAACCTTTTCCACCGAACGATGCTGGATGTAATCCATGCATTTTTTCAGGTTGGTCTAAAGAGAAAAGCGAAGTTGGTCTTACAGAGAAACGCCTCTTCAGGCCACAGGAAGGCTCCGTTGCGGGGTGTACCGAGAGCTGCCCCTCGATGGGGCCCCGCTGCAGTCCCCAGGCTCACCAGGCAGCATCCTTCTGCATCTGGAACCCCGGGGCCAAGCCCGGAGCCCAGCACTCGGCAGACGCAACTGGCCTGTCCTGGATGAACGTTCTAGAAATCCCCCACCGACCTCTGTGCTTGCCGAGAGTCACAGGATGTTCCTTCACTTTCAGAAGGATGAGCCACCTGAAGCACTTGGAGAAACTACACTTTCCAGGCTGCACCCCAGGCCTTCTGACTCCATCCTCTTTTGAGCGAGGCCCGAGGATTGGTATTTGTGTTGCCTAATCTCTAAAGCGGTGGCTGCTACGGAGAGCAGAAGGGCACTGCTCACTCAGCTTAACCCACTTGTGGGTAATCCCGTGACCTGCAGGTGGACACAGGGATGCCTGGGTCACCGAGCGATTCAAGGTGAGGGAGTCAGTCACTCCTCGTGAGATCAAAATGACCAGGGGCTCAACCCTGACCAGGTTGCCCAGCCTCATCTTCAAGGAAAATAATAATTTTCTGTCCATCTGGCAGATAGCCTGGGCTATTTGATGGTAATCACAGTATCTGAGATGCCTCTGTCAGATGAATCTAATGCTCTCACTGGCCCAGTTCTCCACCCGCACTCCACACCCCTCCCCAGTCACCCTGAAACCAACCCCCGGACCCTTCAGCCCGCGGATCTCCACCTGGATGCTTTCTGTACATTCCGGGACTAAACATTAACAAATGCTCAAGGACACAGGATACACTTGGTTTCACTGAACACCTACATCGCTATTTACTAATCGACATTATTTTAAATGCACAAACACATTTTCATGTACACATCAGAGTAATCAAAAGAACCCTAAGTGCCCAGACTTGGAGTCTGAATACCCCTGTGTGGGCAGATTCCAGGGCTGGGCAGGGGAAATGCAAGGGCAACCTGACCGCCTTGTGCCTGGAAAGCCGTCGGTGCTCAAAGGATGGTGGGGACAGCGCCAGAGGGCGGAGAGCCAGGCAGAAGGGCCACCGGCCACATCCGGACGATTTGAGCACAAAAATAAGTGATGAGACTGGCATGTCATAACCCGCTGAACACAATGAAAATCCACAGGCCCATCCTGATATGAATGGGGGGATGAAACAAAAACAAGGGGACCCCAGAGGCTGGGGACGCTCTCTGTGGACTCACGGCTGCAGGTGAGCTCACCTGGGCAGATCAGGGCTGGCTTAGGTAAGCTGAACGGGCACCGTCCTGACTCTGGCTCTCCCTGTGCTCGGCAGGGAATGCTCCGGGCTCTCCAGGGAGGGGCCGGACCTGGAGGAGGGCATCTGAGAGCATCCTTGGGTATCACACATCTTTCTCCGTGCTGAGCGAGGTGCCCACAGCACTCTCCAGCTCCTGCACGCCCTGGAAAGGCACAGCATCCCTGACGGAGCGCAGGTGTGCCTGGAACACAGCCCACAGCTCTTTCCTTAACTCTCTCCTTCTCGCCTGCTTCCCTTGTGCGTCTTGCCTCCATGCAGTTTATGTAAACAGCACCTTAATCACGAGAGTGGCGGCACCAGACACCTACTTCAGGGTTGTCCCGTATTTCGGCAGTGAAGGCTCCGAGGGAGCGGCCACCCCTCTTCCCAGAAACACCCGGGAGGAGGTGAGTAGCCCCAATCTCCACTCTCAGGGATATTATTTCCCTTACGTGCAGGCATCGACTGCGTTTGCATCACACGGGAGGAGACGATGGAGGTATTTAACAGGGCTGTGGCGGCAGCAGGTGCCTCATCAGCCTCAGCATCTCACAGGAAGAAACCCTCTGCCCAAGAGCTCCCCTGATCTCTGAGATGATGACGCAGAAATGAACACCAAGGGCCGACACAACCAGTCCTTGCTTACCTTTGTGTGCAGCTTGGCCAACTGTTTCTCATCCAGATTGGATTGTCTATACACCCGCTTCTTGTAGCGAAACTGGCACAGACACACAAACAGGAAAAAAAGAAAACCAGGTAAATATTTCACGCAGCCGTTCAGAGGAAAAACCTGCCTTGTCCGTGGGTATTTCACCCAGGGCGGGGGCTCCCTAGCAAACCCTTTCGTGTTAAATACACTACTTGAGTTCGCACCACAGAGCCTACGACAGCGTAAGGGTTAACTTCTGAGGAGATGCTGCTGCCGATTCGGCCGGAAAGTCACAAAAGGAAATGAAAGCAGCCCAGAGGGATGAGGACCCAGGAGCCTGACGTGCTCTGCTCCCCTCTGCATCGTCAGCGTGGCGGCAAATCAGGACGCGCTTCTCACGTGGGCTCTGTCTTCGACATCGTCAACCTTTATTAAACACACTCAAAAGCCCCAGCCTGGCAAAGCCACCTGCCCTCAGCCCACAACCTCCGCCTGGGACTCTGGGGCTCAGACTCATTCCTTCAAATGGCACAGCACCTCCTCTAACCTGGCAGAGACGTCATGGAAACAGAGGGGCTTGCTGAGTAAGTCTACCTTGCTCAGGTAGAGTGACGGTGCCCAGGAGGGTGCACTGGGGCCGCAGGCTGCTTCCGAATCCCCAGCGCCTTTCACCCGATGCCCTGTTCCTTCTACTGGGTGCCCTGGCTGCCTCTGTAGTACATGCACCGTGGCGGGTTCGGGAAGCAGGCTGGCAGCTTGAGAGTCACTGGGACTCTGGCCCCCCCCCCCCCCCCCCGCCAACTGCCCTAGTGTAACGGAAAGTGGGGTCTGGCTGCTCACCGCTCAAAAGCCAATAAAGAGGCCAAGCTGGTGGAAAGGAGAGTTTGCCTTATGTTGGATGCTGGCAGCCCGGAGGCAAGGGAGGGTGGTCTCCCGTCCAAAGGCCGACTCCCCCCCACTGACCGTCAGTGGGCGAGAGCTTTTATAGACAGAGGGAGGGGGCTACATGCAGACACAGCACGGTCAGCTCTGGCAGTCATCTTAAAACTGGTCATCAGTAGTCTGACCAGCGGCATCTTGATTGCTTTAGGTCCCGTTAGTCTCAGTTCCGGGGTTGGTTTGTTCCCATTTCTTTGAGGCCAATTCTCGGAATTGTGGCAGCTTATGTCACGGCTACAGTCTGGTCACCATGCAGTTAACTGCTTCCAGCTGGTAGGGGTTTCAGTACCTATAACACAGCTCACAGGATACGGCTCAGAATATTATCTCTAGGCCTTGAGGAGGAACTAAAGGTCCTTGACTTTGCTTAATGACTGAACTATTATTATTTGGTCTCCTTTGACTGTTTTCCTTTGTTTCTGCATTTTCTCACTTCTCTGATTAAACATATTCTTTTGTGTGTGTGTGTGCGGTACGCGGGCCTCTCACTGCTGTGGCCTCTCCCGTTGCGGAGCACAGGCTCTGGACGTGCAGGCTCAGCGGCCACGGCTCACGGGCCCAGCCGCTCCGCGGCACGTGGGATCTTCCCGGACCGGGGCACGAACCCGCGTCCCCTGCATCGGCAGGCGGACTCCCAACCACTGCGCCACCAGGGAAGCCCTTGGATATTCTTTGATTAAAGTTTTTCCACAGACAAAAGGCAGGCAGAGGACATGGCGGGGAGGGAAGGCCCATAGGGTCCTGCTCCGTTTTGCTAGAAGCCTTGTCACTGAGCTGGACACTTGCCCCAGCTCAGACTCTGTTTCCTTGTCTGTCGCACGGGGATCACAACACAGAGCTCCCAGGGTGCCCCGAGGATTGAATGTGAGCTTCCTGGCACAGAACCGGTGCTGGGCAGACGCTGTCTTATCCTCCCCCTCCCCAGCTTCCCTTGATTCCCTCCCACTCCGAGGAGTTTAAACAAGCACAGGCGTGACACAAAAGGTGCAGAGCAGGGGGTGACCTAACCCTGAAAGTCTCATCCCATGTGAAGTTTCCAGAGCGACCACCTTATCGTCTCTTCCCCTCCGCTCCAAACAAGAGAGCAAATCCCACAACAGACAAAATTCCTCGGTGCCACAGACCTAAACGGGATGTTTTTCTTTTTAGGTGCCAAAATAAACCAGTGAAATCAGAAGGGCCCGTGAAACGCGGGCTGCACCCAGTTCCTGGATCACGTGCACCGTCACAAACGGTAAGTGTCCGCCTTCTCGAACTGACCCGGCAGGAGGAGACGCAGGCCATTTTAGGGCTCTAGCCCCCAGGTTCTAGACTCAACCAGGACAGCACATTCTGGGCACGGCCGTGAAACTCCCTATTGCTTATCTTCATGCGTCACGGCTCTGAGGTTTCAGAAGCCACCGAGAGTGACGTGAGGGGAGGTAACAGAGTTTTGCTAACTTGACGCATCTGTAGGAATTCAAGTCAATGGGTGCTTTTGCAGTTATAAAAAGAAATATGCTAGGGTCGGTAACATCTCTTGGCAGGAGGGGGACACACGGAGGAGGCACATGAGGAGAATGTCTATTCCTACAGTCATGTTTACGGCTTGTGGCTAGAGGGATGCAGGCTCAGAAACACACATCCTTTTCTTGCTCTTTCCTCCGTGTTTCATACGCAGCCAACCGTGGTTTACGGCCACGATCCAAGGCAAAGAGCTCAGATCCAGGCTCTGCCCCTGGTGTGTCCACCTCCAGGCCCGGCTCAGCCCCACACAGCGGACCACCTGGCAGGATGCTGGTCCAAGGAGATGCATGAACATACATGGAAATGACTCCTTCATGGCAACGAGAGCTGATGGCAGGAGCAGCTGTAGCACCCACCAATACAGGCGCTCGCCCATCCCCAGGCCTTCCGCTGACATCCCTGTCCCAAGGAATAGCTCACCCGAGCCTCGCAGCCACCGAGAAGATGGTAGTAATGTTCCCCCGATTTCAAAGCTGGGAATCTGAGGCTCAGAGAGGCTGTGGGGTGGCATGTAGGGTCCCACAGTGACCAGGACTGGACCAAGTCCCTCTGATGTCACAGACCACCCATCCACATGGGGCAACGCATGCTCACGTGCTCGCCTCTCAGCCTCGGCTGCCATGAGTCCCTGGATGGGACAGCAGAAGGACACGCGTGCCGGCGGCACTGAAAGCCAGGACACAGCCCTGCCCAGAGTCCCACCGGGCTCTCCCAGGCCTCCTCTTGTTCGGTTCTCGGGGGCTGGGGGACGGGCCCGTGTCACCTCCTCCAAGATGCTTTCCGATCAAGGGTAGGCTCCGGACTTCCTGTTCTCACTCTGTTTTACTGTCTTTATAGAAATTATCAGCCCCCAAATGAGCTGTTTGTTTACTGTTCCTGGCCTGTCGTCTCCTACAGGAGTGTAAGCTCCATCGGACCAGAACCTTGACTGTCCCATGCACGTGGGCCATGCCGAGAAAGGGGCAGGTTGTGAGCAGGCCCCCGACAAGGGGTTTTTCAATGGACACCCAGTTCACAGGTGAGCAAACTGAGGCCAGAACAGGGAACCACTTGACTCCCCAGGGGCATCCCAGCTTTTCCTGACGGAAACCCTTCTCCCTGGTCCAACACATGTTGGGGGTCTCAGAACCTCAGCTTCAAAGTCACTGTCAGACCTGCGAATGTGCAGGTGAGGGGCTGCCGTGGTCCAGGATGTCTCTGACTTCAGACCAACCCCCTTCGAGGGCCCAGATGCCACCCACGATGCCACACTCACAGGCTCTCACTGTTGACTAAGCTGAAACGAATGCGATCACTTGATAATAATAGTGACGTATGGGGTCACAGTAGAAACGACCACATTTCCACCTACTTGTGTTGCTGTCTTAATAATTGTGGGTCAGGGGAGGAGGGATAAACTGGGAGATTGGGATTGACATGTACGCACTACTATATATAAAATAGATAACCAACAAGGACCTACTGCACAGCATGGGGAGCTCTACTCAATATTCTGTAATGACCTATATGGGAAATGAACCTGAAAAAGAGTGACCGTATGTAGATGGATAACTGATTCACTTTGCTGTGCACCTGAAACTAGCACAACATTGTAAATCAACTCTGCGCCAATGAAAATTTTTTATTCGTTTTTATTGGAGTATAGTTGCTTAAAAATTAATTTAAAAATATACCATGTGGGGCTTCCCTGGTGGCGCAGTGCTTGAGAGTCCGCCTGCCGATGCAGGAGACGCGGGTTCGTGCCCCGTTTCGGGAAGATCCCACATGCCGCGGAGCGGCTGGGCCCGTGAGCCATGGCCGCTGAGCCTGCGCGTCCGGAGCCTGTGCTCCGCAAATGGGAGAGGCCACAACAGTGAGAGGCCCGCATAACGCAAGAAAAAAAAAAAAATATATATATATATATATATATATACCATGTGGGGCTTCCCTGGTGGCGCAGTGGTTGTGAGAGTCCGCCTGCCGATGCAGGGGACACGGGTTCGTGCCCCGGTCTGGGAAGATCCCACATGCCGCGGAGCGGCTGGGCCCGTGAGCCATGGCCGCTGGGCCTGCGCGTCCGGAGCCTGTGCTCCGCAACGGGAGAGGCCACAGCAGAGAGAGGCCCGCGTACCGCAAAAAAAAATAATAATAATAATAAATAAATAAATAAATAAAAAGAAATAAAAATAAAAATATACCATGTAGAAATACCATATGTAAACTCAGGGTGCAGCAAGCCCGGGCTCCCCAGGGCAGAGCCGGGGGACACACGTTCTGTGGATGTAAGGCTGCCGGGTGTATGCACCCACCATTTCACGAGGCAGCCCAAGAACACGTGACTGGCCACAGCGGTTCAAAGAACCCACAGGTCATTCCCGGGAGTCAGGCTTCTGACAACAGCTGGATGGCCACAGGCCACACTGTGCCCAAGGGCGGGGGCGGAGGGGGGGAGATTCAGGGAGTTAGAAGCAAACCCCATTCTGCGTCCCCAGGGCTCACAGCTCCTGGTGACGCGAGCCTGAGTCAGACCCATGGTCCGCTCACACCGAGGTGTCCCTGCAACAAGTTCATCCAATCCACAGCAGGGAAACAAATGGCTAAACATTGCACACTGGTCCGCAAAACAGGACAAAATCAGCTGCGACCTTGAGAATGCACACTACTGTTTTGAGCTAAGAGCGATTTCCCAGAGTCCGAATCAAAGGTGGAACTGGGGGAAGGTCCCCCCTCTGCCATCACGCCCAGGCTCTGAGGCAGTGACCAGTACCTCCAGGGAGGGGATGCCCCTGCCCGCGGGCTGCGGGTACGCGCGCAGAAGCCGCTCCTCATCCAAGAACTTGCCGTCGCGCCCGTCGCTCGCCGGCTGGAACAGCCCGTAGTTCAGGACGTCCTTCAGGCTCTGGTTCAACGAGCACAGAATCCGCTGCTTTGCAACCCACACTGTCGCATCTGGGTTAAATCGAATGCATTTCTGCGCGGAAGGACAGAGAGCCCTGGTTAGTGATGCAGGATGCCACCCCGGCACGTGGTCAGAGATGCCAAAGGTGCTGCCATTCCATCCTGAGAGCTCCTCTGAGCTCTGGAGCCCCTGGCTTTTCTGCATGAAAATTACGACCTTCTTGTCGCTTCGGTAAATATAAAAGGGGAAAAGCTCAGATCGAGTCACTGATTCTGTGGCCTCAGCTCTCACCATTGGCTCCAATCTCTGGGACCAGCCGTGTTTGCTGGTCATCACTCCCCACCACCTATTGTCCTGGGCAGTTCTCTCACTTGTACGGAGCTTCTCAAACCTCCCTGCTTGTTAAACACAGACTGTTGACCCGCACCCCCCCTCCAAGCAGAGTGTCTGAGGCAGCGGGTCTGGGTCGGGCCCCAGAAGCTGCATTTCTCACAAGTTTCAAGGTGATGCTGCTATAGCTGGTCTCGGAAACAGACTGAGGACCACGGCACGAGCGAATTACAGTGTGGCTTCGTTTTTACCCCGATCGCTCTCTCTTGGCATCTCAGGCCCAGGTGGACGTCTCCTCTCGTAACCTCACTGATGGGAAAGCCCAGGGCACAAGCGCCCCACCCCCCTGACTCTGAACGTAACAGCTGCAAAAACACTGACACCGCCCCTCCCAAACCATAAAGAACGGCAATTGTGAAGAATGATTTGATTTAGAAACTGTATCAGTTGCCGTGAAAGTTAATTTTTGAAAAAGTTAAATAGTACAGACGGTTCCTGCAAACCAACCACAAACACTTCAAGAACACAGCGGAGACGCTAAGAACCAGAATGACACGACTTGGTCACGTTCCCAGGTCCCTTCAGTGAGACCTGCCAATAAGCCAGGAAAACAAACGTTAGGCCAAATCCGCTTCTGACCATCACTTCTAATTTTTATTGAATTAAAATTATATTCTACTGCACGGCCATCAGCAGGGGCTCAAAAATGTGCTTAATCACTGTAAAAGCATTCAGAAACAACGAAGTTTGACTGCGTATGAGGCTGGAACCAATTCTCTGCAGGCGGATTCTGCTCGCCCAAGGATGCAAAAGGCCCTACTATCTCCCTGACCCTCTGCCTCCGGGGAGCTCCTCCCTGCTGGGTAAGAGGATACCGCTACTCTCAACAACAGGTTGGTTGAGAAGGCAGCCCGGAATCCCACTGCCAGGAAACCTGACCCCACGGGCATGAATGTGCCGTCTGTCCCTCTCTGATGGCAAAGACTGAACTCAAGAGTAAGGCTCAGAGCTCCTCTCGGGGCTGCGAGGCTGGGTGGGGGCCGGTCGTTCGCTTCAGTGACTGCCAGCTGCACCCCTGCCATCTTCGGCTGAATGAGAAGACTGTCTGGAAACTCCCAACACAACAGTGGAGCTGTATCAGAGGTGACCAAGTAGGGCCGTGGATATCTCGCCAATTCCTGCTTTGAGAACCATTGTCGGCCTCTGGTTCCAGCTACATGGATGCACGAACTCAAGTTCCCTTACAGGCCAGCATCCAAAGAGGGCCTGAGGCTCCCTCCCTGCGGCCGGCAGAAAGGATCCTGCCAGCAAGTGGGTGCTGAGCAAAGCACAGCCTGAAAACCATCCCCCAGGGGATCTGTGTGGCGATTGTAGATGATCCCAGAGACTGGTGTCCACTGCCACTCAGGGGGCAGGGCTGGGGATGCTGAGTCGTGTACGGGCCAGCCCAGCACAATGAAGAAATGTCCTGCTCCAAAAAAAAATGCCAAGAGGGCCCCACTGAGAAACCGCTATAGAAGCAGCAGGAGCTCGGAGCTCAGAAAGGCCTGAATTTCCAACCCAACTGCATACACTAACCTTGTGATCCTGGGCAAATTTACCAACCCGGTGGTCCCCCTGTTTCTGTGATGAAAACCATGGTAACTGCATAACTTGTAGGGCAGTTGTAAGAAGCAGACGGAACATATATAATACATGTCATTATGGGTTGAATTGTGTCCCCCCAAAAGATAAGGGTTCCTGCCCCTTAAGGAGCTCAAAGCCTAGTGGGGTGTGATGACGGTGGTGGTGTTGATGATGGCGATAGTGAACATAATGGTGATGACAGTGATCATGACGACGACACAGTCGTGGCTGACATGTATTGACTCCTAAATGCCAGAAATTGTGCTAACTACATTTACCTTCAACACAACCACGAGTGGAGAGTCTTATTATTATTATAATCATGATTATTGATATAGTGTGATTATTATATCAATAACTATAATTAATATATAATTATATGTTAAAACGCAATGTAATAACAATTATCACTATTCCCATTTTCCAGACGAGGAAGTTGAGCCTCCGAGACGCACGTAACTACCCCAAGGTCGCGCGTCTAGAAAATGGTGGAGGTTCAATCCAAACCCAAGCTGTATCGGCCCGAAGTCCTCGCTATTTAACTGACACGTCATTTCCTCTCTGTGCACGCGGCACCTCAGTGCAGACAAATCATAAAATATCAGACGTCTAGTCACTGAGAAAACGGAAGAGAATACTTATGTTCAGGTCCTCTGCGGACCAGGGAGATACTGCCTTTGTTCAGATTTTCCAATTACCTGTCAATTTGCTCCAATGTTAAACGTTGACAGTTACAAGGGAGTAGCAGTTTCACCTCCATAGCAAGGGACACTATTTGGGAGATGCTAAATAACTTTTTTCAAGGAAGTAAAGGCTACGCTCCGAGATACTCTGAAAAATAGACAGCGTCACAGGTCTCAAGGCATGTGGTGCTGTGGAGGTAAGCCGCAACTGTGTCTCTCAGAAAAAGCAGGGGAGCGCCACGGACGTGGTGTCCTTTCTTCCACTTAACAGCTGGGCTTCAGGGAGGGTGGACAAAAGAAAACCCCCGAAGAACAACAAAGCACTTCAAACAAAGATTTTCACCCTGGTGTGAATTCACAAGACTAACAAAATCTTGGAACAGGCTCCTCAGCCAGCAGTGGTGACAGTGGTGGACCGGTGGCAGGACCCTGGACACAAAGGAAGGTGCTGACCATGAACCCAAGTTCACCGAGCAGGGAGACGCAGGGACCTGGACGCCAAGTGACAGATGAGTGGCTCCAGTGTGGGCTAAGTGATGACACCAACCTAACAACTCAACCCCCAAACAGATGTCCCCATCGTCCCTCCTTGCCCCTCCCCTCCTGCTTCCCAATCTCAGCGGCTGCCCCTCCTCCCATGCCACAAACCCAGGAGGACCTCTTGACTCCGTCCTGTCCCGCAGCTTCTGGATTGGTCTGCATTAATCCATGACCTCGGGTGTGTGAGTCCTCATCTGTCCCACCTCCACTGCCCAGCAGCCCCAAGCCTTTCTCACCAGGTCACTCCAGTGGCCACTGCACTGAGCTCACCCCATGCCCCTCAGGCCCACACAACCTGACTCCCTAAGCGGCCGCCAGGGTCCCCTCTCAAGCCAATAACTCCCCACGTCCTGCCTGTTGGTACCACCTCTGCCCTGGCCCCAACCCCACACACGTGTGCACTGGCACACACACACATGCACACGCACATAAAAACATGCACACACACACACAAACACGTGTACACAAACGTGTAAGGACACACAAATACAAACACACATATATACCTGTACATACACACGTGCGAACACATATACACACACAGACACACACACAGACACACACACACATGCACAGACAAACACACACGCACACACACACTCCAGGAATGCGCAGGCAGTCCTCTGGAAAGCCAGGCCACATGCGTCCCCAGCCTCCAGCACCTGTGCACCTGTGCTTCCAGCTAGCCGTCCCCTCCCCACCTCATCTACCAGCTGAAACTGCACTCACACCTCCCACGGGGTACTCCCACAGGGTCAGGGACTCACCCTCTCTCTGGTCTCCCAGCTGAGCTGACCGCTGAGCTCCCCGAGTTGAACCCACAGCCCACGGACCATTCAAGCTAATCCGGCTGCCCCCTTGCCCCATCCTGTCCAGCCTGCAGGTCATAGCCTCTCCATCCCGCATTTCTTATCTCCTGGGAGATGGGACACGCATGTATTCCTCCTCCCTTTCTCCTGACACGCAGGTAGGAGTCGGTACCTGTCACTCACTGATCTCCTGCTGCAAAAGCCCGAATGCCAAGACATCCAGATCCATCTCAAAGCCGCCCGGTGGGTCTGGCTGAGCTGGGTGGCTTAAGATACAGAACACTTGCAAGAGGGTGTAAGGACATCTCCAAGACCCATACCAGAGTGCTTCTCGCTTACGTCCTGACAAGCATAGCGCTCAACATGGGATCTGGGTGATTTGGAAATGGGAGGCGCAGAGACGTGCGCACTCTAACAGAGAGAGAAGCGGTTGTGACCGGCATCAGCCTGGATGACAGGAGGGCAGCCCGGCATCTGCCTGGATGACAGGAGGGTAGCCCGGCATCCAGGAAGCTCCGAGGATGCCCGCAGGCCAGCTTCAGCATCCTCCAGAGGGAGGCACATTCAAGCCCAGGTAACCATCTACGTCCTCCTCCAAGATGCACCCATTCACGTCCCCCACGCTCTCCCTCTCCCGGCTCCTGACACCACCGGCATTTAGCTGGCGAGAGCGCTCCCTGGCCCTGAGCTGCTGCATGACGACAGGGTTTATGTCCTTTTCTTGGCACAGCCATACCTGATGTCCGTGCAGCTCAGTGGATGTCACTGGAACTGAACTGCATTGAATACAAACTTCCATACATGGAACCGTCCTGGGTGACAGAACCCAGCAGTAAAGCAAGGTCCACATGTGATCAGGAAGATGGAGGGAGCTACCATTTCCGGGGGCCCCGCTTTGCACCAAGTGCACCAAGACCTCATCAGCTCCTTGAACAATCCAAACATCCTGAGAGGAGAGACACACCACCAAAGTGGGCAGAGCTGCAGTCGGCATGCGGTCAACACGCACGAAACTCTGGCCCTTCTGCTGGTAGAGCTCATGGTCAAACCGAAATCTACAATGAAGAGAGTGAGAGAAATCCTA